CGATGCCGGCGCCGGCGGGTCGAGGTTGGGTGGAGGAGGAGGGAGGAAGGTGGGGGAAATTTCCCTCCCGCGCGGACGTTGACCGAGTGAGGGTTCGGCCTGGAAAATTGGCCCAAACCCTCACTAGTGCAGGTTGGACTCAAAGTTGAGGGTTCGACCTGGAATTTTTTTTGAGGGTTTAGGGATTTGAGGGTGCTGATCTGCGCCTTTTTTTCTGCTCAACCCTCAAACTGGCAGTTATTTTGAGGGTTTGACCAGTTTGAGGGCTCTGTTAGACATGCTCTAAGCAGCCTTATTGTCCTGCATTCAGATGATCATGCTGTAGGACTGCTGCTCACTAGTTAGTGGTCACTACAGTGAACACTCGTCACCTTCTCAGCAATTGCTCTCTGACATCTTCATCACAGAGGATTGCAGTACCCCAGCGGATGCCCTCTCTGCACTGCAATCAAGTGAATGAGACAATCCCACGCCTACTCAAGGGCTGCTTCGCTCATAAGTGTGGCAAGGTGCTCGCAAAGTTCTCCCTTCAGTTGATCGCACTGCAAGCCGACGATAGCTCCAACATCTGGATCGAGAGCGCGGCCAAGAGTGTAGGCCTTGGCAAGATGAAGGGAGTGTTATCTCCCATCATCCTTATGTTATAGGGGATATGGAGATTGCGCTCTTCGGAGATGCCACGGCCCGTGCTGGTTATTAACTCGATCCTTTCGAGGGCCAGCCACTGGATGCAGTTAGGGCAGGAGGTATGTAAGTTACTTATGGTTCTGGATATGACAAATAAAGCACAAATCATGCATACCCTACGAAGTGTCCAATATGGTCAATGTTTTCTGAACCTGCCTTTTTATACAACCCTATCTAATCAAAGCACACTACAAAATGGTGTGGGCGAATTATGCCTTAGACCCTTAGTAGTCTGAACTTGGGACTTCATTGTTAACACCCTTGTTCAGGGCAAACAACAATAAACATTTAAGTGACTTCAATAATCAGATAAGTGTGCATGTTTTCTTAATGTGGTATGGTGTACCTCCCACCCTAACTGCAGTTCATGTCATTGCTTTCATAAAATGCAATGCAGAACTAGCCTTCTCCACCAAGGATAAAGATCAATAGGGGAGCATAATGAAAGTTGGTAGAGTAAGAACTGACACAACCTACCTTACAGCACATCCAAGTTAAGACCTTGGAATCATCTAGCCTGAAGAACTTCATATTAGCAACTTCTGCAGCAAAGATAACATCAAATGATTCTGTAAGAACTATCGGATATGTTCTTATAGTATGTAAGTAGAGAAATAAATTGTGCCAAAAACAACAAAAGATGGTAAAAGATAGTGTCTGGCACTGGCAGCACAACCGGTAAGAAACCACCATCCAAGAAAAAGAAAACAAGATCACATGTATGAACTGTCTAACGTAGTAATGGTGTAGTTTCGAAGACAAGCAGTAGCAAGTGGTCAAAGGGAACAACTGTCAGGTTGCAACTTGCAAGGGAGTACTAGTAATTAACAATGTCACGGCAACTTGATATAGTTGTAATTGTACATTAAATGCATATTCCAAAGACCTGCCTTTAACTTCACAAACCAGTTCCATATGCTTTCCTGCTATACTCATGAGGTGCTGATATCCAGGATAACCTTCGATGTATAAAATTTCATCCAACTGTCTGAATTTTCCCAGATCCTTACCGTTCTGCAACACAGGGAAAGGAATTGCTTTTAAATTGAAAAAAAAGATGATGAAATAAGAATCATGTACTGTAAAATTTATCTTTGACCACACATACCGACATACGTGCAGCTTCGAAAAGTGGTAGAAGAACAAAGATGGGGTCAACAAGTGTGCAATAGTAAATGCTACCATCTGTAGGAAGGAAAGCAGGATTCAATAGCAAAACTAGGCATTGAAATTCACTGCAGAAGCAAAGTAGATTTATGTTGATGTGTTGTACTCCCTCCGTCTCAAAATTCTTGTCTTAGATTCGTCTAGATACAGATGTATCTAATACTAAAACGTGACTTGATACATCCGTATTTAGACAAATCTAAGACAAGAATTTTGGGACGGAGGGAGTACATGATATGCAAAATAGAGAATGAGAAGAACATCATCATTCCTTTATATTATCATGTTCCTTAAAACTAAGGCGATATCTGATTTTCTTGGGTTATAAATTTTAACTGGCAGGTTTGCTGAGGCAAGGTAACAAACCATATAAGCTGCCTATACGAAACAACAATAAGATATGGGCTTCACCCCTAAGGAAAGTAAATCAAGTTTTGCAGAGCAATGGCAAAACTGCATGGCTGGTTTATGCTTCTACCATACCTTCACAGACATAATCTCCCAGGAACCAAGAACCATAACGCTCCTTAAACCAATTGAATTCATGAAGTTGGCCGTCAGTGAACAGATACTGTGTTTCTTCTTCTGTTTGACGATAAGGAAGAGTCAATGCAAGCTGTTGGTCTATCTTTAAAGGATGCTTCTACAACAGAACTACTCTAAATTGGCAATAAACAATCACAAGCCACAAGCATCATCATGTATTTTTCTATGTCCTCGACGATCAGAAACTTATACTGAGGTAAGTAAGCTTGGCCACCTAGTTTTGGATGGCGAAGTAATAGAATATTCCCTTGACCATTGGCACCAGAAGGGCCTGCAAAGAAACACAATGGAGTCTGATTATAAATATGGGTCTCGCACCACAAATCGGATGCTAGAGGCGATCACCCGCTAGCGGACTTATTACATCCTGTTGTCCTTCCAACCAGGCCACACAAACTAACAGTGCTTAAAACAGAATACACCATACAGCAGTGGAAACAATGCTAGAAATGTTGAGGGGATTGGGGAACTCACGGGGAGCGACAAGGACACGGGGCGGCAACGCCATGTTCTCACACCACAACGCCATCAGTGGTGGTCGTTGGCCCCTTCAGCTTTGTTACTGGTGCACGGTTTGGGTTCTGGTTCTACTGCATCGTTCAGATTAATCCAAAAAGGAACTAATTACATAAGACTGCATTGATCTGTACAACAATAACAACAAAAACAGAGAAGGGTCACCCAAGCATAAAGAACTCGCCAATTTCAGTTCGCTGGTTCCACGCGCAGATCACGCGGCAGCGTTGGTGGCGCCGGGCACCGGAGTGCGCAGGGATTAGGGATTGGGGCAAGGAACAAGTCGGCGGTGGAATGCGTACCTGAGGAGGGCCAGGAAGGTCGCCGGGGGTACTGCCTCTCCGACTCCGAGTTCTTCGCCCCTGCGTCGCGCCGGCAGGAGAGACGAAAGGGGACGGCGGTAGGGTTAGTTTTGGCGCCACGCCGGCCTAGCCTCCCGCGTCTCCACTTTTCAGCGTTGCCCTTGCCCTTGCCCTGCTCTGTGCGTCCATGGGCCTAATTCAGCCCACCTGTCCATAGAAAGCCCTGACGGCCCAGAGTCCAAGCCCACGTTGGCGCTGACACCGGTCAAAAAAAAAACTTGGCGCTGACGCTGCCGGTCGGCGTCGGTCCTCTCGAGGATGGCCGCTGGTCGGCGGCCTGGCTTGGTTTGACGGAGCTGGAACTCTCGATGTGGCCGTACCCCGCGCTTGGATCGAGGACGGCGCCTGCAGCGATTTGAATCCCGAGTCCACCTTGCCCCGCCAGGGCTGCTTCAAAGTTCAAGCCCTAGCCAGTAAACCCCGACTCGGATGGAGAAATCCGCGGCGGGATCAGCAGGGGCGCGGAACGTCTCCATGGACAAGGTACCACTTCCTCGTTGGATTTCTAGCGCCTTCTTTGTGCATACCCAATCTGTATGACTATGATTCGATTCTTTCGATCCCTTTTGTTAGTCTGGTAAATTGTAGATGTGTTGTTCAGTCCACCCTTTTCAATTGAAAATGTTAGAGTGCTCATTATGCCATGATATATGTTCCTTTTTTCTTCTAGAAACATCATGCGGTGTTGAATAAGTCAAAATAGGAAGAACTTGCCAGAATGCCTGGGAATGGTCACACTGAATCTTAGTTCATGTTTTTGTTATGCCCTTCGTTCAATGTTCAGTTAAGATTGATGTCACGTGTTATCTTTATTTTCAAGCAATGCTATGCGTTCATCTCGTGAAATTTATTATGCAAAAAAGTTAATATCTATTGAAGCAACTGCCCCCCTTCAGTCATGTTAGAGTGCGCATTATCTGATATCTGTTATTTTTCTTCTGGAAACATCATGCGGTGTTGAATAAGTAAAAATAGGAAGAACTTGCCAGAAAAAAAAAGGTTACCAGAATGCCTGGGAATGGTCACACTGAATCTTAGTTCGAGTTTTTGTTAAGCCCTTCGTTCAATGTTCAGTTAAGATTGATTGATGGCACATGTTATCTTTATTTTCAAGCAATGCTATGTGTTCATCTTGTGAAATTTAGTATGCACAGCTAGTAACATCTATTAAAACAACGGGCAATTCTTCAGTCCTTTCTTCAGTCAAACTCTTGCAAGAAGCGGTGTCTTTGCGATTGGATCAGCGGACTGCCCGACGAAATCCTGGTCAGCATCCTAGACAAGTTGGATTCCAAGACTGCGGTCGGCACGAGCCTCCTCTCACGGCGATGGAGGCGCTTATGGAGACTCGTGGAATCCTTCCATTTCAGTGAGGTGGTTTTACCAGACAACTATTGCTGGGTACGCCTCGGACCAATGCGGTACTACTTGAACACACATAGAGATCACCATTTTGTTGAGTCCCTCCAGTGGTTCACAAGGCTTAAGAGAGAGACGCCATTGAGAAGACTGTCCCTTGTGTTCTCAGGCAGTGCGGAGTGTAGCGATGTGGTCAACAGCGCCATAGCTTCTGCAGCTCAGCATGGTATCAGCGAAATTGATATGGCAATTGTTGTAAGGATGGAGTACGAGTTCCCCTGGTGGTTGTTCTCTGTTTACAGAAGCTCGCTGCTGACCAGCTTATCCCTAAGTCATTTCAAGCTTTCTGTCCCCCTCGACTTCAGAGGATTCGGTTCCCTCACAAAGCTTGCCCTGGTCCAGATGTATATGAGCCTGAAAGAGGTGCAAGTTCTCCTCAGGTGCTGTACAAACTTACTGAGCTTACACCTGATTGGCATGTTTGATATCAGAATCCTGCGGCTTCCAAAGCTTAAAGAATTGCTATTGTTAATGACTCCATCGTTGGGTAAATTTAAGGTAGACACACCAGACCTGCAAAGATTGGAGTACTGCGGAGAGATGCTCCCAACATCTACGTTTCAATCCATTCCATGTCTTGAGCATGCTTCCCTGCAATTTACTGATGATATTTTTCCAGAATATGATGCGGACAGGTTGGATGATATCTCTACTTGTTTTCCCCATATCAAGAGCCTTTGCTTGTGGTACGAGATCCCCAAGGTGAACCCCACTTTCTGGATATTCTCCAATGCAGTGTTGGTGCATCATTCATCTAACTTTTTTTTTTCTGCAGCTGGTCAAACCAAGAACTCCTGCCACCTTTTTAAACCTCAAAGTCCTAACTTTGAACATCGCTACAAAACCTTCCGATGATCTTCTTTGGATGTTCATGTTCCTAATTGCTGCACCATATTTGGCTACACTGAGAACTACTGTAAGATTGGTTTCCCCTCTTGTATGTTGTACTTACTTTAAATAGAAAATGTAGATTGTTCAATCCTGAACTATTGTGAAAGCTCACTTTCAACCTTGAACTTTGCAACACCTTTTTTTAACCTGGATCTCTTGAATCAGTTTACTGCAGACCCTCCCACTTTTACACGCCCGCATTTGCCATGTTGACAACTTAACTAAAAAAATAGGAAGTTTGAGAAATCTAGAAAAAAATATTCAAGAGACCAGGAAAATGATAATTTTAAAAAATTAATTGTTTGAATAAAAAGAGATCTGGAACGCACTAGTAATATCGGGGATAAGTTTTCTCCAGATTGACTATTGAATCATTTTTTTTGTTTGATCATGGGGAAAGTTTTGTAGGAATTTTTTGGATTGACTATTATAAAATGTTTAGCTGTCATCTGTGAACTATTGGATCCATTTTTCTCATATTAACTTTATATACAAGTTCCAAACCAAAGTTGAAGTTTCAAATTTTCCAAGAAATTCTGATGATTATTTTTTAAGTTTTCTTTTCTTTTCTGAAAAAAAATACTTATGTTGTTGACACACAATGTGTTGACGTGTAAGTGATGGTACATTTCTGCCACGTGTCGTCTCAGCAAAACAGTTAGGGATAGTGCCAAGGGGTTAAAGTAAACTGATACAGGAGTTCAAGGTTAAAAGCAAACTTCTACAACAGTAGATATTTTCTTTTAATACCCCCAATGTTTGTTTTTTATTTGGAGGAAAAGAGCTCTTATTTGTTTTGCCTTCAACATTTCCAGGTACGCTATTTATCATATCTTGAATCTCATAATGGGGTGGTATGGAATGATGTCGACTTCCAGCACGTCAGTTTGAAGAATGTAGAGATGTATAACTTCATGGGAAGAGATAATGAGATAGGCTTGGTGAGGCTACTGTTATGTAGGGCTCCTAATCTGAGATGTTTGTCCTTCAACCAAGCACGTCTGGAGGAAGGTGGTGATCACCAGCTGGTACCCCCTACCTGGCCCATGGCTGAAACTTTTTCCCCAAGAGACAGCCAGTTCGTTCTCTAAGTTACTGGAGAATTGTCGGAGCCGACTCTCTCAGCCCTCTTCTCTCTTGGTTGTTTCACACAACACACACAAGAACACAAGGAATTTTGGTGCCGTACTGTGTCACACAGCCGACGTTTTCCTCTCTCTATATATCTTCTTGTACCAAAACAAATATGCTTTACAGCCCTTAAGTAGTACTCACGCACGCACACCGGGCACTACACTTTCCCACTAACCAGCCCACGCATGCACTAACCCAGGCCACTAACAGCACACGCACACATGCAGCTAACAAGAATTGACCTTATCTAACTACGGACCTTTTCTCAAGGTCGCATAGGACTCACCCATCCATCGGCTTCAACTTGTGCAGGCCGTTGGCTTCAGACCATCATGCACCACCGTCTCACACGGCAAGCTAGCCAGCTTCACGCGGCAGCTCGGACTTTCTCCATGCATGCTTCTCCTATCTGAAACTACTGACTCGTACGTATCACACGTACCTCCCTACACACACATTTTTCTACCTGCAACTACTACATGCAAGACTGAAATAAACATGAGAAGATACATGATCAAGATTAAAAAGCTAACAAGAATGTTTCTTCCAGTGCGTGTGTAGTATTCATCTGATAAGGTACTTTCCGCACTCCATATTTGTGCAGCGTGTGACATGTGATATTGCATAATCAATGGCAGCAAAATTTGATAAATATTTTCTTGGCTTCTCAGAATCACGCAGATGTGCTTCTCACAATTTGTAATTTGAGTATAAATGATTGTGCTTTGCACTTCGCGGGTTCATCACTCCGATCATGAATGTAGGTAGAAGCAGAGTCTGTCATTGAGGCAATGATCCAAGGGTTCGCAGTTTGAAGCCGAGCTACATCTTATTGAATTAATTTATGGTATGTGTGTTTTTTCCGCATCTGCTATTCCTCAGGCAACTGAGATCTTTTTCTTTTGTCAAACAATTCCCGCATGAGTGTGGATGCTACCAGCTTTTTGGTGTTCCGCTCAAAAGGGGAAAAAGGAGAACTCTTTGGTGTGTGCGTGAGCTACCTGCCACCTTGTAGCTGTAGTGCACTCATGGTCGTAGTCTATAGTGATATTGTCGACGATTGTTGCTTTGGTTGTGTGTGATAAATCTGCTGATCACATGTTCCCGCATTGAGATATTTTCGATAATAAATCTCATTTTGAAATTTACCTCAACTTAGTCAGTTTGGTATTTACCAACTCTAGAAAAAAAGTTTGAAATTTACCAA